ACAGCTCCCAGCACGCCCCGCGCGTGGGAGCTACACCTCCCAGCATGTTTCGAGCTGGGAAATACAGCTCCCAGCACGTCCCGCGCCTGCAACTACACCTCCCAGCATGCTTCGCGCCCAGAACTGCAGCTCCCAGCACGCCCTGTGGCTGGGACTACCTCGCCCAAGATGCTTCGCGCATGGGACTACAGTTCCCAGCACACCGCGCGCGGGAGAAAACTACAATCCCGCAATGCCTTGCGCCAAGTACTACAACTCCCTGCATACTTTGTGCTAGGGACTACAATTCCCAGCATGCCTTGTGGGCGGGGCCTGCTGGGGTGTGCGCCCCCTGGAGGCGGCAGGGGCAGGCAGTGGCCTGGGCTGACCCCTCCTGTCCCCAGGGCCCAGCCCCCCTTGGGGGGGTCGCCCTGGACCGACCTGCCCCACCCAAGCAGGAGGCGCGGGGGGCAGTAGTAGGGAGCAGCCCTGGGGCAGGGGTGACACCGGGGCGAGGCTGCCCGGGGTGCAGGGACGCAGCCTGCTCCCCCCAGCACCATGGGCCTTCCCCCGTGCCCAGCCCCAGCGCCTCGCAGCCGGCCAGACACTGCTCCCTCCCCCTTGGCTCTGTGCCTGACATCTGGAGCCACTTCCCAGCGCGGGGCTGCGGGCGCCGGGCGCGCTCAGGGGACGCCGCCACGCCTGGGCTCACATCTGGCTGGGGAGGACTCTGCGCTCGGCCTTTTTCTTCCCTCTCCTCTCCGCCTCGCGCACAGTGCGCTCCCGCTCGGGGCAAGTGCAGGCGAGCACAGGGCGGGGGCCAGGCCCAGGCCCCGTCCGCAGAGGATGCTCTAGAGGGGAGCCGAAGCAGGAGAGCGCAACCGGGGAGCGGGTGTCCGACCGGGTGCAGAGGTACGGGGCAGGGGGCTCCGTGCATGGCTGCTCTGGTCCCCGCAGCAAGGCGGTACGGGGCGGAGGCTGCCTGGCCGTGGGCACTGCTGGGGAGCGGGTACCGAGCCCCTGCCACAGCCGTGCTCGCCCCTGCTCACCTGCCGCACGCCATCCGCACCCAGGACCCAGCGGGCGCGCGCTCTGAGTGGCTGTACTGTCTCCCGGTGCAGCAGGCAGGGCCGCGTGGTCCCGCGGCTGCTGGGGACCGGGCCGTGCCATGGGTGGGAGCGGCTGCGTGGGCCTGGCTCCATGCCGCACTGTCACATCCTCGCCCCGGGGGTGTCAGGGCGCTGGCATCCCCCCGCTGCCCGGGGGAGCGAAGGGAGGCCGCCCCATTCTGCCCCTCCCCGAGCTGGCCAGAGCAGCTGCCAAACTGAGACATCCTTGCGCGCTGCTGGAGCATGGCCAGCCCGGACTGGAAAAAGCAAAAGCCCCCCGAGCGGGAGCACACGCGCGTGCAAATGCCTCCATGCCTGGAGGCGTGTGGGCAGGGTAGCTGCGTGCAAACACGCCTCCTCCACCGGCCCCACAACGTCCTGGGAAAGGAGCTGCCTCGGCTCCGTGGGAATTTCCTGGCCGGGGCCTTGCAGCCCGCTGGGCTGGTCCCAGGCGCTGCAGGAAGGGCCGGCTGCCCTGGGAGCCTCCCGGCCCAGCTGCTGCGCAACCCCCCGCAGGCCATACTGCGATGCCAGGGGCTTGTGGGTGCATGCACGCTTGCACACGCGTGTGCACAGCCCAGCGCTCCCGCCCTAGCATGCAGCCCAGGGCAGCATGGGCATCACCCTGGTGCCTGGGCTCCCCTTGTGGCTGCGGACACCGGGGAGGGCACCTGCTGGGCCAAGCAGCTCGGGCGGGGAGAAGGCAGGGGGCCGGGACCCCGCCAAGGAGCAGCTGAGGCTGGACTCTCCCTCCGCCCATCCCTGCAATTACCATGACTCACGAGCCAGGCATCCCGGGATCTGAGAGTGGAGCAGAGGCATCTGCAGCGGCCTTGGCTCCCAGGGCCTGTGCTTGGCCCTGGCCCTGCTCCCACCCGCCTGGCAGAGCTGCAGAGCGCCCATCTCAGCTCCCTCGCTGCATCCGGCTCGGGTCTGGGAGCGCGGGTACACGGCCCCTGGGAACTCGCTGGGCTTGCGCACCCGCCTGCCCCTGGGTGGCCCGGAGCAAGCCAAGGGTGCTTGTCCCTCTCGATCGGCCCCAGCTCTGCAGCACGCGGGGGCACAGCCCTCAGGGCCTGGCAGGGCCCGTACTAGCCCCAGGCCCGGTGTGGGGTTGGGGTCATTGTCCAGAGCAGCTCACGGCTGCAGCGCAGGCGCCTCGGGCAGGGCTCTGGCCCCGGAGGACGTCAGCCTGGAACCCGGTCAGCCTGCTCCTCCGTGCCTGCCATCCATCTCCGGCTTGATTTCCTTGGCCTCGGGTGCAGCCGTCCCTGAGCTGAGATAGAACGAGCCCTGGAAGCCAATGGGGGGGGTGTGCAAATATTGCCCTTGGCACGTTCAGGCCTGGAAGGAGCAGGCTGGTTCCTCCCAGCCAGCCCCGACAGGGAGACAGGGCAGGTGCCTGCTGGGCGCTGGCAGCCGGAGGAGGCCCTGCTCCGCCACACCGTGGGTACAGGCCTGTGCCTCTGCCCAGGTCGCCCTGCACGGGCTCCCCAGTACCGCGCTGAGAGCTGCCCGGCGGGCCTTGGACCAGCTCTGCATGGCTGCAGGCACTGACGCTGGTGCCTCCAGCCCGGGTGGGGCTGTGTCCAGGTGGGCAACAGGGCAGGGACCAGTGCCTGCTGGGAGGTCTGCACCTGGCCCTGCCACGCGCCCCAGGAGCTGCTCTTGCACCCGCAGGCTGAGCCCGGAGCCAATGGCAGTCAGCTGGGGGAGGGAGTGAACGAGCCAGCGCTGTGGGACCTGCTCCAGGACTGGCCTGCTCAGCGCCTCCAGGTAACGGCCGGGGCCTCTGCCAGGGGCCAGCAGGGATGCCCCCTCCTGCCCAGGGCAGCGCAATACTTCCACCCCCGGGCACCCCTGTACTGTATCTATCCCCTGTCCTTGCACCCCTTCCAGCATGAGCCAGCTCCTGCCCCGCGCCCTGGCTGGAGCAGCCGTGCTCGGGCCGGCCGACAGCCCTGGCCGTGCGCCCGGAAACATTCAGAGCAGCCGCACCCAGCCCCGTGCACCAGGCCCTGCACCGGGGGAGGGGGGGCGGGTGCATGCACTGTCCCCCCAGCCCGGTGAGGGGGCCCTGGGGCAGGCAGTGCGAGCCCAGCGCCGCGCAGCTCCGCCAAGGAACCAGCTCAGCCCTTGCCATCGCCTCGTGCCTTGCAGGGCCCTGCGGGATGGGGCCGTGGGCTCTCGGCCTCCTGCTGCTGTGCTGCCTGCCGTGGCCCGCCCCCGCGCTCGGCCAACTGCCCCCTAGCCGGCGCCCCCAGAGGGACCCTGCCAAGGGCCGGACCATGCCCCAGCCGCACTCAGCCAGGTAAGGGGGTGCCCAGTGGGCCCCTGCCCCAGAGAGCAGCTGCTGGGCTGTGCGAGCTGAAGGGAACCCATGACGCCAGCTGGCCCCGGGGCTGGGGGAGGCTGGGGGAGGGGCCCCTGCGCTGCAGGTCCCCACATCGCGTCGGTGCTGCTCTTCTCCCTGGCAGGACCAAGTGGGACCAGGAGCGGTACAGCCGGCAGCCCCAGTGCGTGCGCTGCTGCGACGCCCCCGAGCAGGCTTCCCCGCTCTACCAGCCTGTGGCCCAGATCAACATGACCATCCTGAAGGGTAGGAGGCCCCTGGGGGCTTGTGGGCCAGGCGGGTGCTCTGGGTGGGGAGGATGGTCAGCCTGGCAGCACCCCTGGCCTGGCAGGTGCCACCACCCCCCGCTGCGTGCTACCTGCTTGCAGTGCCAGAGGCGGGCGCCCTTGCTGCAGGGGATGGGTTTGCTGTCGCTCCCCCCTACCCCTCAGCCACAACACTTCTCTTCCCCCCCAGGGGAGAAAGGGGACCAGGGCGAGCGCGGCCTCCAGGGGAAGTTCGGCAAGCCAGGCACAACAGGCAACCGGGGCCACGTGGGGGCCAAGGGCCAGAAGGGCAGCGTGGGGGCCACTGGGGAGCGGTGCAAGAGCCACTACGCTGCCTTCTCGGTGGGCCGCAGGAAGCCACTGCACAGCAACGCCTACTACCAGACGCTGATCTTCGACACTGAGTTCGTCAACCTCTACGGCCACTTCAACATGTTCACGGGCAAGTTCTACTGCTACGTGCCCGGGATCTACTACTTCAGCCTGCACGTGCACACCTGGAACCAGAAGGAGACCTACCTGCACCTGATGCACAACACGGAGGAGGCCGTGGTCCTGTACGCCCAGGCCAGCGACCGCAGCATCATGCAGAGCCAGAGCATCATGCTGGAGCTGCGGGAGCAGGACGAGGTCTGGGTGCGGCTCTTCAAGGGCGAGCGGGACAACGCCATCTTCAGCGACGAGTTCGACACCTACGTCACCTTCAGCGGGCACCTGGTCAAGTACAGCGGGGACCCCTGAGTGCCTGCCCACCCCTGCCCCCTTCCTGCGTCCCCGCTCCTTGCCTGCACCCCTGACCAGGGTCGGATCCCGTGCCGCCGGCATTAAGGCGAGCTCTTCCCCCTCGATGACGCCACGGCCCTGCCACGGGCTGTACAGGCACCTGTGTCCCCGCTTTCCCCAGGAAACCTGCGATCAGGCGGATTAGTGAGACCAGGGCTGCTGCGGCTGCTGGGTTTGGGACAGGCGTGCAGGGGAATAGCAGCGGAGAGGTCCATGCCCAGGCATGGGCCAGGAAGGTCTTGCAGGGCACCATGTGGGGAGGCCTGGCCGCAGGCCCCGGTTCTGGGCAGTCCCCGAGGGGCTCCTGGGTGGCAGCCCCAGCTGCAGCAGCCTCCCCACATCAGCCCTTCTGCGGTCGCGGGCCAGGCTTCGATTTTAGTTGGCGCGAGAGCAGAGCAGGGGCAGGGCAGTGTACGGCCCCCACGCCCCGCAGGGCTCTGCCCTCACATTAAACCCCCGGTTCAGCTGCGAGTGGCTGCAGGCTCCTTCCTTCCATCGTGCTTGTAGCCCTGACAGATCCGGGGCAACGCCTGCCCACACCGGGGCTTTCCTGCCAGGCCCCAGCTCCGTGCATGCCCCGTGGGCTGGGGTTTCCGGGCAGGGCATCTCCCCGGACAGGATACCAGCCCAGTCCTGCCACCGCCTGGGAGACACTGGGAGACCCATGTAGCCCCCGCAGCCTCCCCGAGAGCCCGTCTGGGGCAGGGTGCGTGCTGCCCTTGCCCAGTGATTCCAGCAGCCGACACCTTGGAGTCCAAGGAGTTTCTCAGCCCCGTGAGCGCCCTGCCCTGCCCGGGCTGGCGCGAGGACACCGTGCCCTGGTCACCTCGGGTGCCCTGGCCAGCGCTGCGGTCCTCGGGCAGGCTGCTGGCAGGCAGGGAGGCCGGGTCAGCCAGGCAGCGAGGAGAGCCCTTCCAAGGACCGCGCGGGGAGAGGTGCGCTGGAGCGGTGCCATGATGAGCTCACCCCACGGAGCTGCCCGGGCCAAGAGAAACAGTCCAGCCCGAGCAGCCTCCCCGGCCCCCGATCTGGGCTGGTGCGGCCGTGGCCAGTGGCTCCCCGAAGCACCGTGGCACTGCCCCGGCTCCAACCCCTACTCCAAGCCTAGCTGCAGAAGAGAGGGGTGCACGGGGCTAGCGCTGACGGGGTAGGGGGCCAAGCACCCCATCTCCCGGGGGTGGGTAGGGGAACCGTGTCTGCTCTGGGCTCTGCACCAGCCAGGAGCCAAGACAACCCGAGCACCTCCTCGGCGCCCACATGCCCGGCACGGTGCCCAAGCTGGTGCCACTGCCCTGCAGCCCAGCTGACCCGTTTTCCCAGCCCACCGACCCCGAGGCAGGCCCCCAGGGCCCCCGGGCACAGCTGCAGCTTGACGCCCCGCCTGGGCTCGCTCTGCCACCGACTCCCGGCCCGGCCTTGCCCACGTCCCCTAACCGCGGGACGCCGAGGCTGGAGCCGCCTCCCCGCCGCCGGCATTGGCTGCAGCCGCGGGGGGCCGGGCCGGGCGGGG